TTTGTTGAAAAGATTATCCTTCCTCCATTGAACTGCTTTGCACTTTGTCAAAAAACAGTTGGCTGTACTTGTGCAGGGCTGTTTCTGGGTTCTTTATTCTGTTCCATTGGTCTGTGTGTCTGTCCTTCTGCCTTGATTACTGAGGACATGTAAGATATGTAATAAGATATATAATAAGACATGAAGTGTGTAGACTGATTCCTCCCACCTTGTTATTTTCAAAATCATTTTAGTTATTCTAGTTTCTGTGCCTTTCCATATAAATTTAGAATAATCTTGTCTATACAAAAAGCCTTACTGGGATAGTGATAGGAATTGCATTAAACCTGTATATCAATTTGGGGAGAACTGACACCTTTACTATACTGAATCTTCTGACCCAATATGGTACGTTTCTCCATTTGTTCAGATATTTTTATTATTCATTTTTTGGTTTATGATAGTGGCTACTAGAAATTACATTTTTCTCTGCAATCATCATGGTAAGGGAACTTGGCTGTCTTGGGAGAAGGGTCTACTCTGAACAATGAGAAATGAAGGAGTAAGAATTAGCTGAGCAGAGAGGATGGGAGAGGTTTCCAGGATAGGGAGCAGTGTGTGCAGAAACTCTGCGTGAGGAGAAAACTTGGGAGCCTTACAAGGAATAAAGGAAAGTTTTGTACAGTTACTGAATTATTCAGTGCTTTGGAGTCTTGTAAAGGATTTCCAAATTTACTTGAAAAGTAGTGGAAAGTCATTAGAGGGCTTTCAAGCTAGGGAATGATGTGATCACACAGGGTTTTCTTTCAACTTAATCAATTCTTTATTCTTTTAAATTGTGTAAAAGAAACATAACAAAATTTACCACCTTGACTATTTTTAAGTGCACAATTCTGTGGCATTAAGTATAGTTACATCATTGTAATTATTTTTAATACCCTAAGGTTAATGCATAGTTAGGTTATAAAGCCTTAATGGATGCTCAGTGGAAAGTAAAAAGTCACCCTTCCTTTCTTCCCTCTGCCCCACTCCTAGAAGTAACTGCTGTTTTCTATGTTCCTTCCACCATATACTGGAGAAGTTATCCTATAGAAAAAAATACATGAGTGTTTAAGGGAACACAGTCAAGGATATAAACAAACCTGTTTTAGGGACAAGAAAAAAATAAAAGAGGGAAACAAAGCTGAATATCCACCAAAAGGAGAACTGTTGCATAAGTGATGGTGTGTCTGTATCATGGAATATAGTGTTATATCAAAAAGAATGAGTTCTTGGAACAGAATCACAGAAATCGAGATCAGAAGGGAGGGGAAGGGGGGAAATGGGGGATAAGATACAGGCAATAAGAAGCATAAATATTAAGTACAAAATAGACAGGGGGAGGTTAAGGATAGTATAGGAAATGGAGAACTTATATGTATGACCCATGGACATGAACTATGGAGGAGTGTTGGTGGGGGAGGGGTGCAGGGTGGAATGGAATAAAGGGGAGAAAAAAGTGAGACAACTGTAATAGCATGAGAGAGAGAGAGAGAGAGAGAGATCAGGATAAATCTGTAGATTTAGAATTAAAGGGCTGATGGGATAGAAAAATAAAGCTCTTGGTTCTAAATGAAAAATAAAAAAAGAATGAGTTCTACTTATGTACTTTGATGAAAGAAAAAAAGGAAACTGCAGAATGATGTGACGACATTTTTATAAAAATAAGTAATTATGAGAGTCCTCTAGAGATAATATCAGGGCAGCCCGAAATCCCTGCTAGGAAGGGAGCTGACGAGAGGGTGACTGGATCACCCTGGCAGTCCACCCTTTCCTGACTTCTTTTCAAAACCCTAGGGCAGCTCAGTTACCTCCTTCCCTCAGGCTTCTCCCTAAGAGCTTAAAAGGTTTAAGCATCTTGGCCAACGGCAGCAAACAAGAGTGATTAACTGTGGTATTGTGTACTCTCTGCCCTAGGGCTCTTTCCTTCCACTTGCCTTGAACTCACCAGGACGGGAACTAGAGTGGGCCTTCAGACCTTTCCCAACACCCCAGACCAGTCAGAATGGCTGATGCCCTCAAGGGAATATGCGCTCCTAGGCCAAAATAACCGGACACCTAGAGGGGTCCAAGTGAAAGTTGGCAAACAAGAGAGCACATGCTTTCTAAGGTAGAAGGGTTCAAAATATTCTAACAGAGGGATCAAGAATTTAGAATAGATTTTTCCCTGGCTGGTGTGGCTCAGTGGATCGAGTGCAGGCCTGTTAAACAAAGGGTTGCTGTTTCGATTCTTTGCCTGGGCACATGCCCGGGTTGTGGGCCAGGTCCCCAGTTGGAGTTGCATGAGAGGCAACTGAATGATGTTTCTTTTCCTCTCTTTTTCCCTCCCTATATCTCTTTCTAAAAAATAAATAAACTCTTTAGAAACAAAAAACAACCAAGTGGAACTACTGATCAAAATATCTTATGGACAATCCAAATTAAGATAACAAGAAAACTGAAAAAAAAAAAAAAATCTCAACTCCCGGCATTTAAAAACATGTTTGAGGACAATATTTATTTAATATCAAAATCTGAACTATCCCAGGTTATATACAGTTTGCAGTTATCCCATTCATTGTGAATATTGATATGTTTTGCAACAGGGGTATGAATGTGTTTGATTTCAGGATACTGTTCCAGACCCTACAGGGCCTGTGACATAATATACAGGATTGCATCAGAGTATTACTGTACTATAACTTTCTAAAGGTTGAAATATTCTAAATTTTGAAAAATATGTGGTCCCACATATTTCCAGTAAGTGATTGTGGACCTCTTGGGTAGGAAAACTACGGTTAAAATAAAGAACATAATAGATGGGATTAAAAATAAGATGGAGATGACTGATATTCCACTATCTTGAACGAAATGGCTTAATAACTAACAATGTTAGTTTTTCCTCAGTTAATCTATACATTGACCACAATTAAAATTAAAATCCTGTGGGGATTTTCCAAAATGTAATAAATGTACTCCAGTATTTATACAGAGAAATAAAATGTCAAAATTAGCAAAGCCAATATGTAAAAAAAAAAAAGAATAAAGAGTAGAGCTTACCCTACCAGATATGGTACTGGTAAAAGAACAAATAGACCAATAGAGAACCTGACCCATTAGTATAATATAATGTAACATAATATAATGAAAACATAATGTACAATAAAAGTGGTACCACTATCACTAAAGAAGGGATAGGTTGTTAAGTAAATAATGTTGGAAAAAACAATTCACTATATGGAGAAAGGTGAAAACTGTGTTCCTATACAACAATACACACAAGGATGAGTTTTAGATGGATTAAACCTAAATTAAAAAAATAAACCTATAAAATTAATAGAAAAATAATTAATGAAGTAAGCTAGTTAGAGAAAGACAGGTACCATATAATTTCACTCATATGTGGAATCTAATGAACAAACTGAACTAACAAAATAGAAACAGACTCAGAGATAGAGAACAGACTGACAGCTGACAGAGGAATGGGCGTTGCACGTGAAAACAGGTGAAAAAGCTGAAGGGATTACGCAAAGAAGAAAGCTCAGAGACACAAACTACAGTGTGGTGATTCCCAGAGGGAAAAAGGGGTGGGGAGAGGTGGAAGAGGGTAAAGGGAGAATAAATGGTGATGGAAGGAGAGTTAACTCTTGGGTGGTGAACACACAGTACAATATACAGATGAGATATTATAGAATTGTACATCTGAAACCTATATAACTTTATTAACCAATGTCACCCCATTAAATTCAATTAACAAGAAAAAGAAAAGAAACAGAATGTTGCAGAAAATCTCTGTCGCCTACTGGTGGTGGGGAAGGACTCAAACACTTCCAAAGAATAAATCATTGTTGCAAAACATTGATTATTTTGATTACATAAAAATTAAGTATGGCTTCTCCACAAGGCACATATTAATTACAAAGGGAAAAACAGCAATTTACAGCATAGAAACCTGGCAGACACCACCTCAACCAAGTAATCAAAGCTAACATCGCCAGTAATGGGACAAATTGACATCACATGCCTCCTGATCAGAAGCACAGAAAAGGCACAGCCTCACTTCTGCGATATTCCTGCCAAAAATGCACAGCCAGAATCTAATTATGAGGAAACACCAGGCTTACCCAAATTGAGGGGTATTTTTCAAAATAAATGTCCTGTGTCCTTCCAAAATGTTAAGGTCAAGAAAGATAAAGACCAAAGGATTGTTCCAGATTACAGGAAGCTAAAGAGGCAGGACAACTAAATACAATTTAGTGTGTGATCTTAGATAAAATTTTTTCTATAAAAGGAATTGGTGGTACAATTAGCAAGAATTAGATAAATTCTACAGATTAGATAATAATACTGTCTTGATGTTTATTTCTTTTTTTTTAAAGTAAAATAGCTATTTATTCAGCCTCTTGTCATGCCAAAATGTTTTGTGCATATAACACTATAATTATCACATAAGCAAAATTATACATCAAATTATATTTTGTTACCTGATTATATAAAAATGTAAAGTGAAAATGACTTATCAATCCCTTTTAACATAACTAGTAAACAATCCAGCAGGAGATATGAGGCACAAAATCTTAGTAAAATGACACAGAAAGAGCAATAATGTAATTCTCACTTAAGTTTAACTTGTCATAATTTTTTTATGAATATACAAAGACAAACTTTTAAAATGTTATATTTACTAAGATTCTGGCAAGAGCTTTATGTAACAAGACACAGCATAACAGGCTTGCCATTCAACTTGTATATGGTGAGTCTCAGCTTCAATATGAAGCTGTTACAAACAAGACAAAACAAAACCAAAAACCTGCTTCTCACATGCTAAATATCTTGGCAAGAATGCCATTAAATGCAGTAAGGAATTCAAGATAGCAAGAATAAAAAGTTAATAAAAGCTAAACGTTACAGCCTAAACAAAATTCATACAAAAAATAACTATCACTGGTTACATAAAATTTTCCTGACTGGTTAAAACATAACAGTATAAAACATGCATCTTAGAATCTTTAGCTATCAAGTTCAAAAAGTACCAGTGTCTACTTGAAATGACTCCTCTCCAAAGCCAAAGTGTAGTCAAAATTAATTCAAATGTTATAACACATTCTAATACTAAAAATCATTCAGTATTATCGAAGTGGAGGTAAATCCCAGAGCTTCCGGGGCTTTCTCGTGCTGCAAAAGGCCATTTCTCTAGTTCACTCAAAGCAGCATACGGCGGAGGCCAAGGATGTTCCTAACCTCAGTAAAGCGCAAGACTGCCGCACCCAGCTCTGACCTTCCCATGAAGCATGGCTACTGTGTCCACAAAAATAGGAATTATGAGGATAAAAGGCACACTATTCTGCTAAAGGAAATAGCAAACCACCCCCATCCCTAAAAGCTCCTTCCCCAGGTAAATAATAAAAGTATACAAGGGGAAAAAAATTAAAATACACTTATCTACAGAGTAAGGATACGGAAATATCAATGCAATCCCTCCTTCAAAAATGTTAACTAGAGTCATCTGGTCATTTCTGTTTACATGTTAATGACGCATCCAGACTCAATATCTGTTGGTTTATCATTAGATACTTCTAGTCAAAAATATTAACTTTATCCCCACATAACAACCACTAGTATGACTGCAGTGTATAATCTCCCAAAGTCAGTAAGCAATGGAAGAGAAAAAGACAGATGTTCAGGCAGCAGGCAGCTATTTGTGGCCCTTTCACACAGCGGCATTCTGAGGGGCTACTGAACAGTCCAGGAATAATTATAGAAACAACAATATTCATGCATTTTAGTAAATATGTCATTTTCACAGTTAAGATCTCCTCGGACATTGCACTTTATAAGGGAATCCTGATTTTTCCTAATGTCATGGTGAGTCAGGACTCGAACTAGCAGCCTTCTTTTTCTTTTTCTTACTGTGTTTCTTATGCTTCTTTTTCTTTTTTGGTTTTTCTGTTGCTTTCTCTCTGTCTTCACTGCTTTTCTTCGTTTTTGCTCGTACCTCCTCAATATAATCTGATTCTGATAAGGACTCAGATGATAAAGGTTTATCTTCAGGATACATCTTTCTCTTTTTGCTCAGTCCTTTAATGTCCTTTTCTTTTTCAGTTGAATCCTTTGACTTCTTTTTCTTTTTCAAGCTATCCTTACTATCTGATTCAGTCTCTGACAGAGAGCTTCCAGAAGATTTATGTGAACGGTTCTTCTTTTTCTTTTTCCTTTTTCCTTGTTTCTTATCCTCGTCTTCAGAATCTGAAGAACTGCTGGAAGAATCAGAGCTTGATGAAGAAGAGGATGAATACCTACCAGATTTCTTCTTTTCTTTTTTCTTTCTCTGTCTTTTTTTGGATGAGCTCTCACTTCCACTTAATAATTTCTCCCTGTGTTTTTCTAGTTCTTTCTTCCAGTTCTCATTCATTTTTTCTTCAAATTCAGCCAAAGCCTTGGAGCCTTTCTTTTTCTTTTCTAGTTGTTCTTTCACTTCTTCCCAGGTAGGCCTTGGTCGATTCAGATAATCTTGGATCGTTGGCCCTGAAGACTGGACTGGACCCCTTGATCTGGCCATTGCTATTGGGTTCATATAGGCCACGCGGTTATCCCTCTTCCCCATGGTGCTGGACTGCGCGCACCTCCAGACGCCCAGGGACACCAGGGCAGTCTTGATGTTTATTTCTTGATTTTGATAATTGTCCTGTGGTTATATAAGGAAAGTCCTTGTGTTTAAAACAACAACAACAACAACAACATTTGGAGTATTTAGAAATAAAGGAATGTTATGGCTACAACTTACTCTTACACAGTTTTGGGGAAAATACACACAAATACACACAGAGAATGATGAAGCAAATGTGGCAAGATACTAACATTTAAGGAATCTTGCTGAGAGGAAGAAAGGAATTCTTTGTAATATTTTGCAACATTTCTCCAAATCTGAAGTTACTTTAAAGTAAAATGTTATAAAAATTAAGAATTTCTGTTTCGTGAAGGACACCAAGGGCAAAGTTAATAGCTGGCACAATGAGAGAAGGTGTTTCTGTATGTGTTAATTTGTAGATTTACATGGTCATATGAATATGGATAAGGTTTGGAAGGATAACTATAAATTTAGGGGGACTTGAATTGGGCAGAAAAGGGTACTATATTTATTTGTATTCTTCAGCTTGTTACAACACTCATGTGTTACTTTTATATTTTAAAAATATTTGTAAGATTTGAAACGGTCTCAAGCACACAGAAAATTTGATGTAAAGAAGAACCCCACTCACCCACCCATCCACCCATGAACCATTTACAAGGAACCAATTTATGTTCCATTGCCCTTGATTTAGTGTGCATGTTTGTTTCCTTTTTTTAACCCTCACCTGAGGATATGTTTATTGATTTTTAGAGAGACGAGAAGGTGCGGGGAGAAAAGAGAGAGCAAGAAAGAGAAACATCAATCGGCTGTCTCCTGTATGCGCCACCACGGAGAATCAAACCTGCAACCCAGGTATATGTCCGGACTGGGAAAGAACCCTGCAACCTTTTGGTGTACAGGACGATGCTCCAACTAACTAAGCCACCCAACTAGGGCAAGAAGAATACTTTTAATTTATACGTAATACTTAAAAAAAGATTTTATTTACTTTTAGAGAGGGGGAAGGGAGGGAGAAAGAGAGGGAGAGAAACATCGAAGTGAGGGAGAAACAGGGATCAGCTACCTCTTGCATATGCCCCAACTGGGGGCAGAACCCTCAACCCAGGCCTGTGTCCTGACTAGGAATCGAACTGGTGACCTTTTGCTTTGCAGTATGACACCCACCCAAGTGAGCCATACTGGTCAAGGCAAGAATACTTTATACATTTTTTAAAGCTTAAAAGCACTTTTAGGGCAATGAAACTACTCTATATGATACTATAATGGTGGATAGATGTCATTATACACTTGACCAAACCCACAGAATGTACGACACCAAGAGTGAACCCTAATGTAAATTGTTAATGTGTCAATATAGGTTCATCAATTGTAACAAATCTACCACTCTTGTAGGGGATATTGACAATAAGGGAAGCTATGCATGTGTAGAGGTAGGAGATATATAAGAAATCTACATACCTCTCCCTCAATTTTGCTGTGAACCTAAAACTGCTCTAAAAAAAAGCCTATTTTTAAGAAAATAAGAATTTTACTTCTTGCAAAAAATTGCATCTCCATGATGTGTTGATATAGTATAATCATGATTACTAAAAAACGGCTGTATGCACAACATTTAACACTGCATAATTCTGTAAGAAAACCTTTATAAACTGCAAAGAAAATGAGGGAAAAACAAGAACCGAAGCTAATTCTGTCATAAATATTAAAACTATTACAAAATCATAATCAAACATTATATTCCTCCTGATGAGAGAGAGTATGTAACACTAATATACGCATTATTCGGGTGCAGGGATTGGGGGGTGGCGATTGGTAGAGATGAAGGCAGGATTCACAGGGCAGGCAGAGCACTGTGATGTAAATGAAGTAAGATTCACTAACCTGAACAGTGAAGGGTAATTGTTGAAACTGAGCAACATGTACATAGGGGTTCATTATTATGTTTTCCCACTTCTGAACATGTTTACAATTTTCCATAATAAATAGTTTAAAATTTGTGCTGCAAAATAAAAGAGAATGTACACTTTTTTTTTAAGTTCAAGATTAAGCCTAACCGTAGCAACAGACGTGCATAACTAATACCTTGACAAGCAACCTTAGTGACAAGGATATCCAGAGTGTTCCACCAAATTTTTGCTCCCAAATGAGTTTCACCAGGTGTTCCAGCCAGAAGAATCACACACCACCAAATTGTACCAAGATTTGCTATAGACTTGCCAGTGAAGTGAAGCTATGGAGATGAAGATTCCTTTCCACAGACCTTTCTGAGTATCACTATAATGTTTCTGGCTCCATGGAAGCCCCACGAGGGATTCTGGGATGAATCCTTTGTCCTGCAACTTGGATGCAACTGATGCTCATTTCAAGGCAGGATGTGGCCAGCATTCCAAGGAGTTGGAAACAAATAGCCATGAGAACCCAGGAGAAAGAGGAGATTATTTTGGGAGAAAGGACTTTTTAAAATATTTTTATTTTATTTTAGAGAGAGGGGAAGGGAGGGAGAAAGAGAAGGAGAGAAACATCGCTGTGAGAGAGAAATATCAACTGGTCACCCTCTGCAAGCAACCCCAACAGGGGACAGAGCACAGAGCCCACAACCCAGGCATGTGCCCTGACAGGGAATGGAACCAGCCACCTCTCAGTCTGTGGGACGATGCCCAACTCTGAGCCACACCGGCTGGCCACAAAAAAGGTGCTTAAAAAAAAAAAAAAAGATTTGATTTATTTATTTTTAGAGAAAGGGGAAGGGAGGGAGAATGAGAGGAAGGGAAACATTGATGTGTGAGAGCTACATTGATCGGTTGCCTCTTGCATGCCCCCAAGTGGGGACATGGCCCGCCACCCAGGTATGTGCCCTGACTGGGGATCAAACTGGTGACGTTTTGGTTTGAAGGCTGGCACTCAATCCACCGAGCCACGCCAGCCAGGGGGAGGGAGGATTTTTTTAAAAACAAATTCAACATTCTGTTTACTTTTCTGACACTGTCTACCTTGATTTGTAGCCTTTTCTACAAGTTCAACTCCCCTTTGAGTTGTGGGTAATTTTGCCTTTCTATGCAGTTCAATGCATTTTGCTGCACAAAATTTGTCTATATTTTCACTGTCTCAGAAGCACAAAATTTCCAATGCTCAACAGCCTTTAGGGAATACAATGCTGAGAGAAACAGAGATGATAGATGATAGTTGTTGTCAAAATTCCTAGTATGATACCTTATCTAAACAAGATTTCTAAGATACTGTAGAAAAATAAAGCTACTGTATATGAGAAAAGGTCAAGAAAGTTCTTTACCAATTCCAATTCCTCTGTTCCAATTGCTCTATTCCAATTCCTCTGTTACTATTTGAAAACTTAGTGTACATGGAGATATTCATTGTAGCATTTATTTGTAATAGTGAAAATTTAGAAGCAACCCAAATGGCCAAAAATAGGGATAAGTTTAAATAAGCTATGGTACATCTGCTCATAAAAATTTTCATAATGAAAACTATAACAGCATTTACAAAAAAGGTTTTTGAAATAAATATGGTGTTTAAAGGCAAATACAAAATAGCAAGGGTACCACAACTGTAAAATGCAGTTATACATACTGTGTCCATAAATACACACACACACACGGAGGTAGTTGATTTTATATCTCTATACCTATATATCTATGTATATCTATCTATATACCTATACCTATACTTGTATCATCACAGTTTGCACCAAGCCCAATTAAAACCAGAATGCCAATTGTAGTGGTTTTAAAATAAGTCCATAAATTCCTTAACACTTTCCCTTGAAACAGTGGAGCCAACTGCCCTGCCCTTGAGCCTTGAGTGTGAGCTGTTGGGAGTTGCCTCTAACAGAATGTGGTGGAAGTGATGGTGGGGGAATTTATGAGAATGTCACAAAAGGCATGTAGCTGTCGCGTTCTTGGATGCCTTGCTCTGAGGAGGCGGGGCACCATGCTGTGAGAACACTCAAGCAGCTCTGGGGGAGGTCCACATGGTGGGGAACCGAGGCCTCCTGGAAACTGCCAGCAGCTGTTAGTGGAGGCGCATCATATAGTCTCAGTGAAGCCCTCAGAACTTTACCAATGAATGGAGCTGTGTTGCGTAAATGTGTATCTTTAGTCTAGCCTAAACCATGCAAGTGAGCAGCTATGGTAAACATAGTAGGCAATGTCTTATTTTTCATGTAGTATGTTCATTATATTTTTTGGTCAACCTTGAGATACTTCATCAGGTAAGTGGCTCTAAACTTAAAGCAATAGGTCCAAGTTAATCTGAAAAATAAAAGTGCAGCGGTCACACTGGAGTCCAAAGAAGTCTGAAAGTGCACGGAAAGTCAGGTATTGAAGTTGCGTATTAAAGCCTTCTCTAAGTTTTCCGTAAGTTCACAGCAGTTCGGCGTTTTTCTCATTCTTATGATCAAGTCAGCCAAGTGATGGCCTCTGGCTCAAATCTCCTTCCTTATTTTATCTGTCCCACAGTGTTGATCCAGCCTCTTCCTTGATTTCAAAAAGCAGAAATAAAAGCAACAACATAAATCATTAATATATGACTTTATTAAAGACTTGAGATAACTGGAAGAGGGGTTTGCATCCCAGAAATGCGAATAACTTCAAAGATTAGACCGTCGTCATTCTTAAATGTCCTTTAGACACCCAATCTCTGGGAAACTGGTACTGGTTCCTTAGCTGGTCCTTCACCGGTGTCCCAAACTCAGGACACATGTACCTCTTCTCTTGCCTTCTCTCCCCAAAGAAATCCCAACTCCAGTCTTCCCACCACATTTGGGAAAGCCAGATAACCTTGAACCGCCCCCCGCCCGCCCCCGCCCCCGCCATGTGCAGAACATTAGAGCTTTTCATTGAACAGAACTCACCTTCCTTGGGAGGCATTCCTCTCTTCCCTGTGGATTCTATCTTTTCAATAACCTTCCGCAAATTAGCATCCCATCTTATCCAGAGGGAAACTGTACTTTAAGAGGTTACAGAACTTGGTCCAGGGCCCTGAGCTGGTAAGCAGTGGGGCCAGGCACAGCAGCCAGTCCTGTCCAGGCCCAGGGTTCAGGCTGTGGCCACGTATTCCCTAGTTGGCCACCTCCAGGGGAGTGAGATCCTCATGGGATTGTTTTGTGAACACAGTCAAAACAAGGAAGTTGGTGCTGTGATTAGAACTTTGATGGCACCACACTCTGAACACCTGCTTGACCCATTCATTTCCACAGGAAAGTCTCCCATTAGAACCCTTCTGGGCAGTGCTGGGACAGGCGCTGTGGATTGACATGTCCCTCCTTTAGGCAACTTGGATCAGGCAGACTTTAAAAAGTAGAGGTGTGGGGACCTGTCATTTTGGCAGAGGCACCATGACTAAATACGTTGGTTTTCAGCCACAGAAAATCAAACTGTATCTCACTAAAAATCAGTAAAACAGTGAGGGTTGCAACAAATACTAATAATCATTGAGATGGTCAGCATTTATGGTACTACTAGGAACCATAGAGTTTTGCTTGTATTATCTTGTTTAATATTCACCATAACCCTAATAAGGACCATTATTATTCTCATTTTACAAATGAAGACACTGAGGCACTAAGAGGCTTAATTTGCCAACATCACACAGCTATTACCTGAGAATCCAGACACAAATTTGATTCCAGAGCTGGCTCCCTAATTTACAAGGTAAAAACAAGTTAAATCAGATTCAGTTGTTCCCTCTCATTCCACGTTCAAAATGACCCCCTAAAAGGATATAAGGTAACATGACCCTGAGCATACCCATGGGTATGTATGACGTGAGAATGCAACCCACTGTATGAATAAATATGGAACAAAATTGGGAACAGTGATCTGGACAGGTGTGACAAGACCAGGGACTCAGGATGCCTCAGTTCTTGCCCCACCTCTGCGTGCAGAGGTATCTGAACCTAAGCAAGACACGTGTCATTCTGCCTCAAGCTCCAGTTCTGCAAAATGAGAATAACTCATCAGGAGCATCTTAACACCAAACTATGGGGAAGACAAGGCCAGGAGAGAACATTTGTGAAAGGATTCCTGAGTTAAAAATGCTGTATCATGGGTTGACAAATATTCTAATTTAGGGTTTCAAAGGCCTCTCTATATACTGTAAAGCAGAAATCACTTCCAAACCACCCATTTATTTAGCATAAAAAAGAAACCTAGAATTACTGACAGGGCATGACCTATACGTATTATTAGAATGGAGTTAAATTGCATGGTGATGTTTGCCTTACCCCACGCATCTCAGCAGGTGCCAGGCAGTCGCATAGTGTGTTCCTGTGCACATGCTTTCTGATGCCTGGCTCAGCAGGTGCGGGCTGTGGGTGGCCCTCCTGGGGCAACCATCTTGATGATGGCCTGGAATATTTGTGTGCATGTGTGAGTCTGTGTCTCTTCAGAGGAGGCCCCAGGCAGCCGCCCCATCACTCCATCCATGAAATGACACCATTTGGATCCATGGCTCTTTACAGTTTTCAAAAAAATTTTATTCAGCTTACACAGGGCTTTGTGTCATTTAAAGCTCCAAACTAACCAAAGAAGCAGGCAAGACTAATTGTGTTATGCCCACTTTATGGATAAGGACAATTTACTCAGGAGAAGCTGGCTTGCCCAAGATACCATTAGTGGTAGAGCTGGGCTAATCCCAGTGCATAACTTTTCCACTATTATCACCTGTTTTTAGTCATCACAAACAGCTTCACTGACCACCCAGTGGGTCAGCCAATGCCAGGTACTCCTACTCATGAGCTTGCTCCCGAGAGAAGCTTGTTCGAATCCCCTACCTCCCATTCCTGCCCATGCAATGAAGAGTTTTAAGTGACGGGATGAACAAACTCCAACTATTGGACGGGATGAACAAACTCCAACTATTGGGCAGGATGAACAAACTCCAACTATTGGGCAGGTCAAACTAGGAGCGGACCAGCAAGGTAGAACAGCATGACAGTTAAGAGCTACACTCTAGAACCAGACTGGCCTGAGTCCCAGTCCTGCCACCTGCTATGTCAATGTCCTGTTTCCTCATCTATAAAATGAGAATAATAGGGTTGTGAAGATTGACTGAGTTAATGCAAGTAAAGAACTTAAAACAGTGCCTATTACTAATAAGAGCTCAATAAATACTGTCATTATTTCCTTGGTATTGTCTTGAAAGGAAACGAGAGGTCTAAAAACAACAAAAAGGCCCAGAAAAGGGAGTCCTTCTCTGTTTAGGCAGAGCAGACTCCTCCTTGCTGAGTCCTCCCTTGTCTTGTCTCTACCTGTACCATGCTGACCTCACGTCCTTTAGGACTGGATTTTGGTTATGGCCTTCTCGTTTCTTGCTCTCTCCAATATCATTCTCTGCCTTTCCTCAAATAGCTTCCCCCCAGTACTCATTTCTCAAGAATTTTTACTGAGCACTTATCTATACGCTGAGCACTCTAGCAGATGCTGTCATGAGCTGCCCAGACTGCAGGACTTGCTGCCCTAGCTGCTGCAAGTGCTGATGGCAGAAAGTTCTCAGCGGTTAGCCCCTTTGGGGAAATTCCCTCCACTGAAAACTTCTCTCAACTTTACATCTCCTTCTGGTAGCAGCCGGCATTCAAAGATTGATCAACTCAGCAGGGTAAAGCCCTGCCCGAGACATTGCCTCAAGCTCCAGACAACTCTGCAGGGCTTATGCAGCTCCACAATGCGGGGCTGACCGATGCCTTCACTGCTGCTAAACTTCTCCCTCTGCTCAATCCTGGTGTTGGTCCCAGGAGCAGCTCCAATAAACACCTTGCCTGCCGATCTCTTCACCTGCGGCAGGCACAGAAGACACAAAGATGAATAAACCATAGTCTGGCTTTCTAGGCTATCAAGGCAGAGTGGGATCTACACCTTCAACAATGGTAAGCAGCTTATAATGGGGGAAGCACAAGGTACAATGAAGCCTACTTGGAGGGAGGCAGGGTTGCAGGGAATCTATCACTCCTGGTTCAGGGACCCCTAGAGGCCTTTCAGCCAGGCTGTGAACCCAGCCTGCTAAGCTGCTTTGATTTCTACAGGTTCCAACATCCAGTCTGCATGTTCAGGCTGGTGCAGGGCCACAAGCTGCTGTTGCTGGCCAGGGTGTTTTTGGTTTGCATCTGTGGGTGGGCCAGACCCAGACCTAGGGAGTGCCTTTTACCACAATGCTACATTCTAAAATGACAAACTAGGCTGGGGCATGGCCAGCAAGGGTAAATGGCATCTCCCCTATTTTATGCTAAAATTTGCCCGCAAACCATAAGAGGTATGCAAAACAGCCTATGTCCAATAAATCTCTAGACAGTAATAGCACACTGAAACAAACCATTCTGACTGGCATCTTCGATGCCTTGTAGACAGATGCAGAGGGACCCTTTACTCCCACTGAGGACCAGCCAGGTTGCCTGAGGCCAGCAGGTCAGGGAGACCGGGAATTCAATGAAGATCCTGCACTTTCAACCTGGCCAGCTCCTTGGCTTTAAGGCTTGATGGCAGCAGGGAAGCTCAAGCATCAGCAGCTGTGAGCTCCCCAATGGATGGGGTCAGACAGGCCCTCCACAGCATGAAAGGGGTGGCTGCTGTGACGGGCAGTCTGTAGTGATCATGGGCGGCTTCCCACCCTTGCATGTTAGATTCGTCTCCTCTCTGTCCTGTGCTTCCTGGAATGGAGCTCACATTGTCCGTATGTTCTCTCAAGACAATTATTTTCTGCCAACTCCCTTCCTCTAATTCCCAATAGTTCACCCTGCACTTGTACCGTCTTTCTCAGCTGCTACAATTCTTTCATCACAATTTTCTGAAGACCTGCAGTGTAGGCCTGTACTGTCACATATACACGCTCTTCCCATATTGTTCATAGAATCATGAAATTGGAAGTCAACCTAAAAGAGCCTGGCAGGGCTGAACAGTCCCAGAGACTGGGAACTCACTCTCAAAAAGCAACCTGAGCTATTAAAAAAGTTTTCCTTCCTTTGGGCCTAAATTTACCTATCTCTGGAGTTACTCAGATTTTTTCCTACCACATTCCTTCAAATCACAGACCATCACACAAGAATCACTTTGTAAGTGCTTACTTGTCAGCTAATCCTCAAACTAATCCTATGAAGAAACCAAGCAAGAGGTATTCAAAAAGGTTAAGTGATTTCTTACTCAGCTAGTAGTTTTTACTCTGGTGACCCCCTTCTATCACCAGTAATGATACTGGGACTTGATTTTAGACCCAACTCCAATGTTCTTTGTACAAAGTCACCTACCTCCAAAAGAAGCAGATTCTGTGTATAGAACCCTTCAGCTTTACTCCCACCAAATCAGTTCTCTTGGGAGAATTCATATCAGGCTTCACAAGCTTGTGAAGGGTGATGGGGCTGAGAGCCTGGCAAACAGGTAGACACAGATCACACACCAGGCCCCTGCAGGTCCGAGGCCGACAGAAACTGATGGGGCCCATGAGAAGGCTCCTGAGTGTGAAAATGCACCCAGCCACAAAGCTGGAAGAACACCTCTGGACTTCAAAAAGGGAGTGAGGGACGCTGAGGAGACAGGCCGATCAGTGGCTCTTCTGCTGGCTTCATCCATCTAACACTGCTAGCTCTGTGGCAAATCATCAGAGCCTTCCTGCCTTTATTTTCCTTTACTCCAAAACAGGTCTCTCTCTCCCAGCTACCTATACCATAATCATCTCAGAAGCTGAGTTAAAATTCCTTGGTTGAGCTCTGTGACTATAATTCTCTATGAAGCCAGCAAGTTCCTTCTGTTGACTCTGGTTTCTCTACTGTCATCAAGAGCAAAACAATGTCTCTATGTTAGTGTCTTCTGCATAGCAATTTCATATAGCAGCTGAGCCCTCGAGAAGCAATATTTGTAAATCACATTATCTATTAAACATCCCCCCTTAAAGACTGCTTAATTTGAAAACAAAATGCTCTATTTCTTCCCATTAGACCACATTTTCAATTCCCTACTTCGCAGGCCCCTCCTACATGGTTAGAGGAAAAATAAATGAAGCCACCCATGCAAAACAAGGACAAAAACAATTTCTCTTCAGCCCCTTCTGAAAGTCTGTATCAGAGATGTAGGGTGAGCCTGGGCCAGAGACCATGGGAGAAAGCAGTTGACAGACCATGTTTAGGCTTTAGAGCCACAGGATCACAGAATCAGTTCACTCTCCCAAGCAGTGAGGCTGAGATGGCAGAATCCAAGACCCCTTCAGCTGAGGCTGAGACCAGGCTATAGCGGCCAGCACCACAGTACTGTAACACACTGCCCTTCGTTCCAACAACACAGCCCACTGCAAGGTTAGGCAGGTGACCTCCCAGCCCCAGCGGCTTACTGATATCTCCTTCCAGGGACAAGGGTGGTGATGCCGTAACTTCCTCCTTGTGACTGATACAAGTGTCATAGGAAAATGCGAAATCAGAGTGCCCACACCCCTTAACACACTGCAGCCCAACCAGGCAACAGCAGAGATGAGGCAAGGAAGATTTAATTTACACAGCAGCCACTTGGGGCCCAGTCAAAGCTGGGGCAGTGGGGAATCTAAAACCCCAGAGGGTACCTCCCCACCCCTTCCACTTAGAAAGCCAGTCCTCACAGACTCTTAGATGGGACTCCCTGGATTGTGCAGAGAATGCTCCAGTCGAAAGGAAAGATTTGGGGATAAGGCTGTCCCCCAAGTCAGGGGAGGTCCATGGCCTGGTGATGGTTGCCTGCATGGTGGCCCAGGGGTCTGAGAGACCAGTCCATGTCCTGGGCACAGTCCCCAGCCTACTGGGCCTAGAGGAAGCCCTCACGGCGGAACTGTTCCTGGAGAAGGGCACGGTATTGGTCAAAGCCCCCCTCGACCCGGGTGACACCACCTCCTTCGCACACCCACAGCTCCCGGCACACCAGCCTGATGAAGCGCTCATCGTGGGACACCAGAATCACGCCACCCTGAAAGACAGGAGACCAGAGGCACTCAGTGGGGGAAGGGCCCTAACGAGTGCTGAGGCCTAGGGAGGAATGGGCAGGATGAAGACACACTGACCCTGAAATTGTTGAGAGCGCGGCCCAGAGCCTCAATTGTCTCCATATCCAGGTGGTTTGTGGGTTCATCCAGAATGTAGAAGTTGGGGCTGGAAGGCAGAACCCAGCAAGGCAGGCAGTTGGGAGTGGGGGGAGAAACATGAACTCTGATACAAAGACAAGGGAATCACTTTCTACTAGGCAAGAGGGGGACAGAGGAGGGCAAGAACTTTAGAAAATGGGGCCTCACCAGGGCATGGTCATCTGAGCAAAGGCTACGCGGCTCTTCTGGCCCCCAGACAAGCTGGCAACAGGGCGCACAGCCAATTCTCCAGAGATGCCATACCGGCCCAGCTGGTGACGATACTCCTCCTCAGGCCGTCCTGGAATAGGTCCCATCATGGCCCAACTTCCTTCCCCTTTCCCCCAGCTATACCTCCAAATGCCCATGTCCTTATACCTAGACTTGCGTGGGCTGCTCGGCACCTCCCCCAGGTAGTCTAACTGTAGGCAGCAGCCCTGGCCCTCTTTCCTCAACTCCAATCCCTAACACACCAGGAAACTTGCGTGACAGCAGTTCCACAGCACTGACATTCAGGTCCAGCTGTTCCACATGGTGTTGGCTAAAATAGCCTATCTTCAGATTCCTACAGGGAGAAATAAAGGTGGAAGAGGGGATGAAAGGTAATGACCGTAAAGAATGTAACTACAGTATGTGAACAGTTAGGGAGTGGGGGTGGGGACCCTACCTGTGAGCATGTCTGATGCCCCGAACAGGTGTTAGATCTCCCATAAGCAGCTTCAGCATGGTAGACTTCCCAGCTCCATTCTCCCCAACCTATAAGAAACACGACAACTTTAAAGAGTATACATGTGTGGGACACAGAAGAGAAAGAAATGAGAATTGGACTTAGGTAGTCCCAATGACTTTTCAACAACTAAAATATTTTTAAGAAACTAAACAGTCCTGGCTGGTTTTGCTCAGTGGATTGAGTGCTGGCCTGCAACCCGAAAGGTCTCTCATTCGATTCCCTGTCAGGGCACATGCCTGGGTTGCAGGCCAGGTCCCCAGTTGAAGGCTTGCAAGGGGCAACCGACTGATGTTTCTCTCACACAAAGACGTTTCTCTCTCTAAAAATAAATATAATCTTAAAAAAAATTAAGAGAAAAATGAAGTAGTAAGATTTAAAGAGAACCTAATTCCTGAATACCTACTAAGTGCTGGGAATTTAATTCTCCTAATAACCAAATGAAGTAGATGCTATCACCATTTTGAATATGAGAAAACTGTTTAGTAATAAAGCTTGGAAATGGCAGGGTCAGGATCTGAAGCCTGACCCCGAAGCCTGTGCTCTCTCTCCTCTATGTTCCACAGTTTGAGAAAACTGAGAACTGAGACCAGTAAGATAAAATATTGCTTCATGTACTCATAAAGTACCACACGCCAGGCTTTCATCTCTGCAGGGCAGTCCTGTGAGGCTGGAGGATGGGGACAGTATAAGCGCAGCAAAACCCTTGGCTCAGGCCCTGACTCCTGCTCCACTGGGCCTCTTCCCACCACAGCCCGGGGATCTGGGCCAATTCACAGCGCGTATTGGAGCGGGAGAGTCTCAGCTCGCAGAACAGGAAATAGCAACCATACCACACAGATGCGGGACTCAAGATCAGCAGAGACGGAGAGACGGCTGAAGATGATGTGTTTAGGGTCATAGTAGAAATCCACCTCATCTAGTTGCAGAATTGGCGGTGAGAACTTCTCAAACCCATCGGGGAACCTGCGGGAGAGGAGGTGAGGGTGAAGAGCACTGGGGTGGCCAGAAACAAGCGCTTCCCCCCAGCCCCAAGGGCCCAGCACTCACTTCATCACTACTTCCAACTCCTTGTCCACGGGTTTCAGCTCTGGCCTGAGGAGAGAGGGGGCACTCTAATGGCTTTTACTTACCTGTTCTGTCACAAGTAACATATGCTCAGAGAAAACTGAGAAAAACTTTGTACTCCCACCACCCAAATAACATTCTTATTTTCAAGTAACATCATGCACTACATAACAACGTTTTCATCAATGACTACACTTACGAGGGGGGTCCCACAAGGTTTTAATGGAGCTGAAAATTCTATTGCCTAGTGACATCATAGTCAGGTCATAACATCATAGCACAACGCATTACTCACGTATTTGTGGTGATGCTGGTGTAGACAAACCTATTGCACTGCCAGTCGTATAAAGTACGCATCTAATTATGTACAGGACATAATATTTGGTAATAAACGACTATCTTACTGGTTTACCTATTATACCATACTTTTTACCATTATTTGAGAATGTACTTTCTCAAAAAAAAGTTTGCTATAGAATAGCATGCTGTTACGACAGCAGCAGCTTCATACATCTTATGCTTATCGCATCTCTTGATTGCATTATTTTTTCTTGTGCTTAATTTCATGTTGTTCTATAAATTTAGCATAACCTAAGTGTACAGTGTTTATAGAGTTTACAGTAATGTCCTAGGCCTTTACATTCACTCACCATTCACTCGCTGACTCACCCAGACAAACTTCTATTCATGGTAAGTGCCCTATACAAAGTGTATCATTTTTTTCTTCTGTATTATATTTTTACTGGACCTTTTTATGTTTAGATATGTTGAGATACACAAATACCACTGTGTTACAACTGTATGCAATATTCAGCACAGTAACATGCTATACAGACTGGTAGGCTAGGAGCAGTAGACTATATACCACACTCTGTGTGTAGTAGGGTACACCATCTAGGTCTGTGTAAATGCACTGTGTCATGGTCACACAATGACAAAACTGTCCCACGATGTAGTTCTCAGAATGTATCTGTGGTTAAACGGCACATGACTGTACGTTCTTCTAGTTCACTATATGCCGGGGGGGAAAAAAAGGATTATCCTTTTTGCAGCTTTTTGTCCTAATTAACACATTGTGATGAATGTTTCAATGTCACAAAATCCTAAGCCTTATGATTTCAGGCTCTTCTACCACCAGCACTTCTGGAAAGGTTGCTTCAAGATTACACCTTCAATGCTCACCATCCTTAGTCATTAAGGAATGCAAATCAAAACCACAATGAGATAACACACCACACCCACTAGGATAGCTAAAATTAAAAAAACAGATAATAAATGTGGACAAGGGTATGGAGAAATTAGAACCTTCACAAAGTGTTGGAGGACTATAAAACAGTGCAGCTGCTTTAAAAAACAGTTTGGCAGTTTCTCAAAAAGTTAAGCATAGAATTACCAAGTAACCCAGCAATTGCACGCTTATGTACCCAAGAGAATTAGAAACATGTTAATCCAACAATTTGTACACAAACATTCATAGCAGCACTATTCCTAAGGGACAAAGAAAAAAGAAAATTTAAATGCTGGTCAACTGATGAACCAGTAAACATTATCTGGCCATAAAAAAGAATGAAGACTCCTGGACAAGATGGCAGCATAGGTAGACAAGGCTCGCCTCTTTGCACAACCACATCAAAATTACAACTAAAATATAGAACAACCATCACTCATAACTGTCAGAAATCGAGTTAAATGGAAGTCTGACAACTACAGAATTAAATAAACCACATCCATCCAGACTGGCAGGAGTGGCACGAACATGGAACTGGCTGGCCCCTCACCCACATGTGGTAGATAAAAATTCTGGAGGGATATCTCAGGAGCGAGGAGTCCCAGCCCCACAACAAGCCCCCAAGCCCAGGGTTTCAGAGCCAGGGAGATAATTCCCCATAACTTCTGGCTGCAAAAACCAGCAGGGATTGAGTCGGTGGAAGAAAGTGCTGGAGCCCCAAGCAGGTCCTCTTAAAGAACCCACACACGGACTCACCTACTCAGACTCACTCTCTCTGAGCTCCAGCACCAGGGCAGCAGCTTGAAAAGCACCAGTAGTACACAGGGAGGAACTGAAGCGTCTGCATGAATGCAAGCAGAGGCCATTGTCCCTCTTCTAAATCCCCACAGAGTTGGCAAGCTGATTCCGTATCTGAGACTCCATCAACCTGGCTAACACAGTTTGACTCACTTGGAGATCCCAAAAGACTCTGCCCCACCCAACTTATGGACCCTTCCCAGCTGCCTTTCCATATGATTGGCTGGTCTTGGCTCATGCTTCAAAACTTCCTAAATCCTCTTAAACAAGCAACAGCTGGCCTCAGTGAGCCCCAGGCCCGGCACTAGCAGCAGCCAGCCTGGATTCACAGCTTGGCTTCATCTGGGAATCTCCAAACCCAGCACAAGAAAGAGCCATCTCAGATTGCTTTATAGCTCGGGCTAGGTAGCCCCACACAAAACACAGGTAAGGGCTGACCTCGGCCTGCACCACCTGGGAAACCCCAGGAACAGCCTACCCAGTAGACAGCTACAGACCACGTAGGAGCACCACCACCCTGCCCCTGCACAGCTGATCCTTCACTGACGGTGGAGGTTGGCAGTCAGTGGTCACAGCCAATCCTTAGAACTGACTGGCATGGGTAAATCCCTCCCACTGATCTGCCAACAGCAACCAAGGCTCAACTACAAGAGGAGGGGGTACTTAGCCCACACAAAAGGCACACCTCAAGGGGAGGCTGTGCCACTGGAACACACACACACACACACACACACACACACACACACGACACCTACTACATTAGGCCACACTGCCAAGACAAGGAGTAAAAGCAGCTTTACCTAATACATAGAAACAAACATAGGGAGGTTGCCAAAATGAAGAGACAAAGAAACATAGCCCAGATGAAAGAACAGATCAAAACTCTAGAAAAAGAGCTAAATGAAATGGGGATAAGCAATCTATCAGATGCGAAGTTCAAAACACTTGTTATAAGGATGCTCAAGGAACTTAGTGAGGACGTCAGCAGCATAGAAAAGACCCAGTTAGAAACAAAGAATACCCTAATTGAAATAAAAGAACATTTTACAGGGAAACAACAGTAGAGTGGATGAAGGTGAGAATCAAATCAATGATTTGGAACATAAAGTAGGAAGAAACAGCCAATCAAAACAACAAGAAAAAAGAATCCTAAAAAAATGAGGATACACAGTCTCTGGGACAACTTCAAGAGGTCCGACATTCACATCATAGGGGTGCCAGAAGGAGAAGAGGAAGAGCAAGAAATTGGAAATCTATTTGAAAAAATAGTGAAAGGAAACTTCCCTAATTTGGTGAAGGAAATAGATACACAAGTCCTGGAAGCAGAGTCCCAAAAAGATGGATGCAAAGAGGCCCATTCCAAGACACATCATAATTAAAATGCCAAAGGTTAAAGATAAACAGAGAATCTTAGAAGCAGCAAGAGACAAGCAGTTGGTTACCTACAGGGGAGTTCTCATAAGACTGTCAGTTGATTTCTCAAAAAGAGACTCTGCAGGCTAGAAGTGACTGGCAAGAGATATTCAAAATCATGAAAAGCAGGGACCTACAGCCAATATTGCTCTATCCAGCAAAGCTTTCATTTAGAACTGAAAGGCAGATAAAGAACTTCCCAGACAAGAAAACCACTCATCATCACCAAACCACTATTACATGAAATGTTAAAGGGACTTATTGGGAAAAAAAGAAGAAAAAACTATGAACAATGGCAAAAAAATATGTACATCAAGAGTTGAATCTAAAAAACAAACTAAGCAAACAAGAAGAACAGAGACAGAATCAGGGATATGGAGAGCACTTTGATGGTTGCCAGGTGGCATGCAGATATGAGCACGACTGGGTGAAGAGGTGAGGGAGTTAAGTACACATAAGTAGTCACAGAATAGCTATGGGAATGTAAAGTACAGTACAGGAAATGGAATAGCCAAAGAACTTACATGCATTTACCTGTGGACATGAACAATGGTGGGGGACTGCCTGAGGAAGTGGTGGGTGCTGGGTGGAGGGGGGCAAAGGGGGAAAAATCAGGAGAACTCTAATAGCATAATTGATAAAATGTAATTTAAAAAATAAATAAAATGCCAGGTTTCAAACACTTAGGAAAACAAAACAAAATAAATAAAAAGGAAAGAAGTACTGATATGTGCTATGACATAAATGACTCTCAAAAACATTATGCTAAGCAAAAGAAGCCAGACACAACGGTCACATTTTATGAGCCCACATATATTAAATGTTCAGCGTAAGAAAATATATACAGACAGAAAGTAGATAAGTGTTTGCCTAGGCCTAGGAGCAATATTAACTGAGAGCTGTATAAAATATTCTGCTTTCCTGAAGGAAAGGAAGTTAAAGTTGGTTTCTGCAAAGGGGGTGGCCTAGAATCGAAGGGCAAGGAGTGGCCTGCAAAATAAGGCAAGATATTACGAGAACAGGAGTTAGGCCCCGGTCAAGGACACTGTACTCACAGCTTCTCCAGCATCTTGAGTTTACTCTGTACTTGAGAGGCTCTGTTGGCATTGTAGCGAAACCGGTCAATGAAAACCTGTGGATTGATGAATGCAGGCATTGCTCAGGCTCCCTTACCACCTCCAACTCTAACACCCATGGGATGGGGACCTCAGCCCTGCCTCCTTCCACGGACCTGGATATGCTGGCGATACTGCTGCTGTGCCTCATATTCACGCTGCTGGTTGAGTAGCCGTTCCTGCTTGCTTTTCATAAAGGTCTCAAAGTCTCCCCGGTAACCATCTAGCCGCTGGCTGTGTAGGTGGATGATGTCTGTGGCTATGGCATTCAGGAAGTTTCGGTCGTGGGAGACAACCAGAATTGTGGAGGGCCATGTCTGAGGGGGTCATAGGACAGCAGGCCCGGTTTGGGAGGGCAGTCAGCTCCCAGCCCCCAGATGTCTTGAAGGCAGACTTTCCCCAGACCTATTCCAGTACTTGTAGGCACTCACCTGCAAGTAATTCTCCAGCCATAGGATGGCCCTTACATCCAGCATGTTTGTGGGTTCTGGAAAAGTGAACACATTTGGGATTGAAGGGCTGGAGCCCTAGAAACATGAGTGTTACCACCTTTCCCCATTTCACACTCACCATCTAACAGCAGAAGATCTGGCCTATGGAAAAGAAGAATGCAAGGCTTGAAGTTTTAGGTCAAAGACTCATTGCTGCCTCCCAAGAGCCAAAGTCCATCCTCCATAGTATCCATAAGGAGGCCCAGAAGACTCACCTAGCAAACAGGGCCCGGGCAAGGGCCAGCCTCATCCTCCAGCCACCTGAGAACTCCCTAAAGATAGACAAAGCCATATAAGAGGTGGGTCTCACCTGCACCAGCAGGGGCAGAGCCAACAGTATTCAGAGACAAGAATGTCAAGGTCCACTCACCGGGTGGGCTGCTGCTGCATTTTAGGGGTAAAGCCAAGTCCAGCAAGAATGACTGAAGCCCTAGAAGTGGAGTTGAAGAACCCAGTGGGAATAGGTAACAGAAGGTAAAGGTGAAATGTGAAAAAAGAAGAGAGGAATTTCAAATACCTGGCAGGCGCCTTGTCAGCCTCAATCTCTTCCAATTTGGCATAGATTTCTGCCAGCTGTGCAGCTTCTGAGCCTTCAGCCCTGGGTGGGAATGGGGAATAGGGTAATCAGCCTGAGCGGGGGTAGTCCAAGAGGATGTCCTGCATGCCCTGAAGTTTGAAAGCAGACCACTGGCTGACCTGTTGCTAGGACAAGAACACAGTACCGGAAGAACCTGCTTACAGCACTAAGGGCCTTAGGCACTGCAGAAGGAACAAGGGCTTGAGAGCCTCTCAGTGCTAATTTTTAAGCCCTGCTGCTCACTGGGGTGAACATGCAAATTATGGATTGTGACAGTATGGCAGGCACTATGTGAAGGACAACTGCTGTTAGTTATTCCCCAGACCAGAGCCTTCACCTGCCAGCAGCAATCTGGGCACTGAGCTCCCGCTCTCGCCGCAGGAGGTCTTCTCGCACAGTGTCACTCTCCAGCACACTCTGCAGGGCAGGGGTGTCATCTCCAGCAACCTCCTGCTCTACGTGCAGCAGGGAGATATGTGCTGGAACCCGCAGGCTCCGGGTGGCCAGCATCTTCAGCAGTGTCGTCTTCCCGAGCCCATTCCGACCCACCAGCCCATAGCGGCGACCCCACGCCAGGTTCACATCTGCACCAGCCAACAGTACCCTAAAAGGGTAGCAGGAAAAAGATAGAGGGGTGCTCTAGACATAGGTGTACTGCAAGTTTAACAACAGAAACCTAACATCTTTAGCCCCATTTCATCTTTCCAAATTCTCTTTTAATTGGAAAAAGAAATACATCACACACATCCCCACAGCCACTCCCTCACCTATCGCCAAAAGACACATCAAAGTTCTCAATTCGCACATCGTAGGATTTGTTCTTGCCAGATGATTCCAACCGACTCTCTTTTCTGCTGCCTGCTTGGCTGGCTGATGCTTCTTCCAAGACTCTTTTAAATGAAAAAATGAATGGCTTTTGGCACTCCCAACCACCCTTCCATCCCTGTAGAGACTGCTTGCTCTCTTAACCCTTCATGCAAAACTCACAGAGGGTTGCTGGTCTTGAGTGTGTCCTTCTCCGAGCGTTTCTCCTGCTTTGCCTTTAGTCGAGCCTCAGCCTTCTCTAGCTTCTTTGCATTCACTGTCTAAGAGTCCAAACAAAATCATTTTCGTCCTACTGTGTAGGCTCAGAAAAGAAACCCACAGAGAGAGCAGCTCAGGTTAACCCTCTCAATTTACCTACCCCTAATGAACAGAATTAAAGACTCAGAAAAAGACATCAGAATACCCCAGAAAAACACTGCAGTATTTAGAGACAGTCAACTCCCACCCCAACCATAAACAGCCCCCCTCCCTTTCTTCATTTTCCTCACCGAGGACTGTTCCCTCTTCAGTAGTCCTGGAAGGCTGGTGCTACAGTCTGTAGGTGATAAGAAAAGCAGTCACCTTCCCCCTGAGGGAAGGGAAACTAATATTTTGAGTACCCAATGTAAACCAGACAGACATGTTCCAGGAAAGCTTTACAATACTGAACATAGATAGCTATCCTCCTCCCCACACTTAAAGAAATATCTCAGATAAAGGATACAAGGTTGGGGCAAATAAGCAATTCTTACAAGAGCATGCAGTTGGTTAGTAAGTCACAAAATGGGGTGGGGGACCCACGTTTGTCCAGCTCCAAAGCCCATATGCTTCCTACCATTGCCAAAGCTTGGAGAACCCTCCAACCCTACTCCCTTCATCAATGGGCTCTTTTGCCTTCAGTAAAGACATCAACTAGCTTCTACAATCTTGTCCTATGGAAAAGAGGTACCAGGAGTTCTGAGCTACAGGAGGCAGGTGGCTGGGGCCTGGAGGCTGAGAAAAAGGAGAGGGTAGCTAGTTCACTCTTCCCTCACTCTCACCGTAATTCTCCGTTATCTTTGACAACTGGATGGGGGCGTCTAGCAGCACCTGGCTGTTTCCCTGGCTCTGTGGCTCAGCCCTTGACGGTACGGACGGAAAGCGCAGAGTTAGGAGTTGAAGAAAAAGCTCCGTGGCCATTGAAACTTCTCTCACCCCGTCTCTTGACCGTCCTCCCTCCCATCTCGACCCACAAATCCCCCCTGACCATCCACGTACAGGCGCAGAGTGTTGTACATGCGCTGACACACGGCTCTGATGCCCGCGTCATCCTTGCTGTCCCCGGACACCTCTTGCAACAGTTCCCCCACAGCTTCCACCAGGTCATCCACAGACTCGAAGTCCGCGCTGCCGCTATGCAAGACGCCTGAGCCAGGTGTGCCAGGTTAAGTTAGATATCGGGTAGGACGGACATACACGGAGTTTTAGCCCCGGAACCATGACTCCAGTACGGGCTCCAGACCCAGACCGCCCTCGGAACAAGAGGTCATGCAGAGGAGAGGCCTACTAGCGGCCCCGGCACTGCCCTCCCTTGGTCTTTCCCACCCGACTTCTACTTCGGCCTGCCCAGCGTGTTGATTCGGTTGAGCTTACCCGTCACGTAGTCGAAGACCTGTCCGTCAATTTCGGGAAACTCGCTCCGCAGGATCTCGGCGCAAGTCGCCATGTTCCAGTCAGGCTCCCTTCCGCGCAGTCGTGGTGAGATCCCGGACAAGGCCTGCCTCCCACCCTTCCCCCGAAAGCGCGTCCCTCCTTTCAAGGCGCATGCGTAGTGATGACGTAAGAAAGGCGCAGAATCAGCGGGACCCAGTGGGCGTGGTCCCCGGGCAGATGGAACGGTGCGCATGCGCCCCTCAGCGTCTACGCAGGGGCTGCTCTCCGCCTGCGCGACGCCTTTTCCGCTGAAAAATTGGCCACACGTGCGGGCCTCGCCGTCTTTAGGAAGGTGGAGATGCCTAAGGCAGGTGGTGGGACGCCGAAGTCGGACGTCTAAGGTCCAGCGGGTGGGTTGATAAAGCACATTGGCCTTGCTAGTCTCTGCGCCCAGCCGGGTCCATTTTGGAGCCAGCCTGAGATATTTGCTGATTCACGCTCGTCCCTGAGCTCTCAGAAGCCCCTTGCGCAGTTCTGTGCAGCCACGAGGATTGTTATGGTTCCTAGATTTTATGGGCTGCTTGTCTCAGCTTGATAGCCCGCCTGCCCACCTGCGATCTGCAACTCAGTCAAAACTGCCTACTCAGTCCTTTCACCACTAAGGGCGCAGCCTCACTCACCGCCAAAGCACAAGAAAACCAGATCGACACACGGCCTGTACAATTTCTTTGGTATTTATTCCCTACCTACACCTAAAACTGACTTCTCTGCACCCTAAATCTCAGTAAATGACTAAGGCTATTTCTTTTCACTGATTCTTATAAGTTAATGATGCTACTACTGCTTTACATTTAACGGGAACACTCTTCCAAACGCGCTCTAAAACTCGCCTAAAATTACATTATTCATTCATCCTTCTGAGGAATCATTCAACCCTGATATTAAAAATAAGGCTATAAAACTAATAAGGCCCTAAACCTAAAAAACACTTAATAGGAAACACTGAGGTAAGAGGAATTCTGACAGGGAAACTATGTACAGAACTAGCTGGTTTCTTCAGCATTTCAAGAGCTGAGGGAGATCCTGTGGTCTGTAACATTTGAGAGGCATTCACCAACTACAATGGACCTTGTCTGGCTCCAGATGCAAGTTGTAAAAAAACATGTTATAGGGCACTTGGATTAAATGTGAAGACAGACTGGATATGATACTAAGGAACTGGCCGTGAGTTGATAATTGTTTTAAGCTGGATGATGGGACATGCAGGTTCATTATATTTTGCTACTTGTTTATTTTTGGAATTTTCTAATAGATTTTTTAGGTTTAAACAGGCTGAAATCAAGCAAGGGAAAATTAGTGAGAGTAAATTGCTCTTTTATCTGCTCCAACACACTAGTAAAATATGGAACATCATATCCTCTTCAGGCACTAGGTACAGAAGGGAAGACTTTTTAAAGAGGCCTAGGGAGTCAAATCTTCCCTTTTATTACCCACCTACGAAGGTTTGGGAAGCCTGGACAATTGGGAACAGAATAGAATTAAGAGGTCAGTCAATTCTCAGGAAGACTGAAAAAGACCAAATGTAAACTTTGCTTAATCTCACTAATTAGAAAACACCTGCCTGAAGCTACAGATGAGTTAGGGAAAGAATTTCTACCCACGGAGAACTGGGACCAGGTGGGGCTGCTTGTACTTGAGGCTTTTTTCTTCTGAAACAGGAGACCGGGGGTTAACACACGTCAGCATTAGGGACTGGATGACCTTGGAGGGGCCTAATAATTGAGACCAAGACAAGGGAAGAAGCCTTGAGAGAGTTCATAACAGAAATTCTCCTCGGAGCAGGCAGTGTAAGACATGGAAAGAGCAGTCCCACCAGTTCGCCTCCCCATGTAGCTCCCGCATCAACACTTAGCCAGCAACTCCACTCTACTGAGTTTATTGGGTCTATAACTGGACAAAGTCACACGTGTACAAAATGAAGCTCACACTATCCCAAAGCAGTGTAGGGACTGAGGGCTAGGGATCCGTTACTAGCTGTTGGGGGAGCTCTGAGGTGAGGGGCAGCCAACCCTCCCACTCGAGAGATGTGGCTACAAGGGAGGGGAGGAGGAGAAGCCCACCTGGCTTTGGTCACAGAACTCAGAGCCTGGCATGGGGCCAGGGCAGACAGATGGAAGAAGCAGGAGTCCCAGAAACCACCCTGCCCAGGGAGCCCAGGGACAGCTCCACCAGTCCTGCTTGCAATGTGGTTGGTCCAGACCTAGACTCAGGGGCTGGTGCAAAGGGAAGGCAGCAAAGCAGGAGGGAGGAGACACTGACGTGTGGTGGCCAGGGCACTTAGACCTGTGGAAGAGGGTGGGTGGGGAGGTGGGCTAGCTGCCATGAGGCAGCTAGCAGCGGGTCTCATAAATGCCGCTGCGGCCAATGTAGCGCACCCATTTGATGACATCATGGTCGCTGTAGTTCAGCTTCGGTTCAAACACCTTCAAATAGCGCACCTTGAGGCCAGAGGGTGCAAATGGCACCTGGACAAGGGACAGCTCCAGTTAGGAACGTGGCCTTCCTGTCACAGCCCCTCTCCTCCATAACCCTAAGCCCTACCCTAGTTCATCTCTACTACAGGCAACTGAATGAATGATTGGGGTCTGAAAGGAGCCAACGGGGTAGTGAGGGGCCCTCTCAGAGGTTACTAAAGAAGAAAGCATATCCAAGAGTAACTAGCAATCATTTGGGTTTGAAGTCAGGCCCTACCTGTGACTTGTGAATAATTTTATTCTGCAGAATGCAGCAACCAAAGACCTGCTTAGAACATACTATCCTGCTCAGTATTATGGACTTAAAAAAATAAGGTGGAGAAAATTGTATGTCTAACATACAATTTGCATAAGGCAAAGTCAGCCCATTTTCCTGTCTGTAAGTAAACGTTGTCTTACCTGGCATTCAAGTAATTTAAAATTTTCCAGAGAATTATCTTACAAGCCAAAAGAGGTCAAATATTTTTGTTAGTGTGAATAGCAATTTCTAGTTGGAGTCCTGAAGGGGGAAATGGATTTATGAATTAAAGTCACTTCCCCTCTCTAAGGGCTCAATTTCTTGATCTGCAGGTAGTAAGGTATAGAGACTCATCTAAATGATCTCTAAGATCTTTACTAGCATACCCTGCTATGGCTCTAGGCCCCTCTGCCATACCTCAAAGTTCATGGAAATGGGGGGTCGAGCCCACTTCTTCTTGTCATTGGTGGGCAGAAGCTCAATCTCTGCGCTTATCTGCGATTCCTTCATGCCTGCCATGCGCTTGATCCTGGGAACACAGGAGCAATAGGCAGCAAGTGCCCCTGGTAGCTTGGAGGAATTTCAAGGGGGCAGGGAGAGAGAACCCAGGAGCTTGTAAGAAGTGCTAGGACAAGGAAATGTGGTGAGGACCTTGATAACCACTTGCTGTGAAACCTTGGCTCTGCTATTGCTTCAGCACTGTGGAATTCAGCTTCTGCTTAGATATGTGGGCATGCCACCCCTAACCCTATTTACTTTACAGACATATTACAAGGGCAAATGGGAAAACGTTAAAGCACCTTGATAAATGCATGCATGCACCCAAGTACAAACACACGCACACTCATGCAGAGGCATAGAGGGTGAAACCAAGCAGAGGCTCCTGGAGAAGCAAACAGGCAATTCCTCCCCCAAAAAACACATACTCAGAGGGCAAAAGGTAAAACTGAACAAGGGGGTACACCAAGGCTCCTGAGCCCTGCTGTGGCCTCATGAAGGAAAGACTCACTTCCACACGATGGCGTTCTCACTGGCCTTGTACTTGGCCTTCCCCTTCATGCAGATGACCTGCACCCCGCTTGTGTTCAAAGGGGTTGGGATCCTCACCTAGAAGTGACACACCTGTCAGGGAGCTCTGTTGAGCCCTGAAATCAGCTGCCTTTATTCCTGAACACAAGTGCTCATTCCTCGCCAAGCCACCTTGTCCTTACCTCAATCTTCTGTGCCAGTAGTGAAGGCTTGAAGTTGGACTTGATGACCACCTTGACCTCAAGCTTGGTGCGCCCTACTTCCCGCACTAGCGGGATTACCCGGAAAGGAAGGATGATGTCCTTGGTGGTGCGATACCTTTAGGAGTGCGGAGCAAGTTTAGCATAGCAGAGCCTGGCCGCCTCCCTCTCCCCACTATCTGCCCTTGCCTCCTCCCACCCTAGTGGCACCTCATGAGCTCGAACTCTCCATCTGGTGGGATGAAGCTGATGCTGCGTTCGGAGTCAAACTTGCTGAGTCTCACACACTGGTGGAATGTGCAGTCATCGATGGCGATTGACTGCTTCCCACTACAAGAAGGGGCAGAAAATCTCATTAGTATAGGAGAGTGACAGGACAGAATCATGCTAGGAGGCTACCCACCTCAGAGGTGCCAAAGCCTGGGTGAGTTTTCCACTAGACACTATCAAAAGCTGCCAGGATGCAGCTTTCTGACTTAGGAGTCCCTGTCCCAGAATTAGGAGGAGAGGCAGCTCTGCAAGCTCATCATCTCTTGAGAGCTCTGCTGCTTGAGACCCAGAGGTATCAGGCACAATGGGCAGAGACCATATATATATACATAAGTGCCTTGGTCCTGGGGACCAAACAAATGAGCTTAGTCTCTGAGTAGGATGAGGACAATCCCCTCACCTCAAGTACAGATGTCAGGAGTAACCAGCCAACCATACCCTTGGGAAAAGGGAGTTTGCACTACTGCAGAAATGACATTCAGGAAAAGTCTGCTTCACGAGGCCTCCCTCAGCCCTCCAATTCTTGAGGGCAGTCCGCCCTCTCCCACCAGCTCCCCTGCCTCAGGTACCTCTTGCTTGTTTCATCAGCTGTGCCTTTGCCCTGCTTCTCAATAACAATCTTGTCATTCATCCCAAACTTGCACTCAGGCATGCCACTCAGGTAGCTCTTCATCACCACCCGGCCCGACACATGGGCGCTCAGCACCTGCCCTGGTGATGAAGAGACAAATGGGAAAGCTGAGACAAGACCAGGACATTGCTCCAGTCCCCCTCCAGCTTCATCACAAGAGGACTCTCACCCTGTGGGGACATGAGGAGGTTCACACTCTCCAGCACATCCAGGAAGAGCTCATTCCGGCGATACTTGATGCCCTCCCGCCGCCAACCAATC